GCGCACGCCTTTAATCCCAGCACTTGGGAGGCAGAGGCAGGCGGATCTCTGTGAGTTCGAGGCCAGCCTGGACTACCAAGTGAGTCCCAGGAAAGGCACAAAGCTACACAGAGAAACCCTGTCTTGAAAAACCAAAAAAAATAAATAAATAAAATAAATAAATAAATAACAAGACAATATAAAAGAAAAAGAAGGCTCCAATACACCCAGGAAGTGTCTGAGACTGGGAGCTGAGTAGCCACAAGAAGAGTACCACCCATCCCTCTGCCAGGCTCTATCACAGAGCTTGTGTGCACTCCTGGCCAGGATGACCATACCATGGTTACCTCAACCTCAGTTTTCCTTTTCCTTTTCCTTTTTTCCTTTTTGTTTTTGAAACAGGGTCAATCCTTCTGCCTCAGTCTTTCTAGTGTGGGGTTGGTTTATTAGATTTTTTTTTAATATTTTAATAATTTATTCATTTTTATTTTATGTGCATTGGTGTTTTGCCTGCATGTATATCTGTGTGAGGATGTCAGATTCCCCTGGAACTGGAGTTACAGACAGTTGTGAGCTGCCATGTGGGTGCTGGGGATTGCACCCAGGTCCTCCAGAAGAGCAGTCAGTGTTCTTAACTGCTGAGCCATCTCTCCAGCCCCCTTTATTAAATTTTTGAAACAGGGTCTCACTATATTTCAGGGTGGCTTGGGATTAAGTATATAGTCCAAGTGCCTTTAGTTAGTAATTCTCCCGTCTTCTCAAGTACTGAGATTACAAACATGATCCTCTTTGCCCATCTTCATTTTAGTTTTTCAAGGACCAAAAATTCACCTCAAATAGACTTCTAACCATCTCCACATACCTACAGGAGACAAATGATGAAAAATGGACACATATTTAAACTCAAGAGATGAACAATAATCACAAGTTAATGTAATGACTAGGGAGCCATGCCCAGGTTACTGTAAACTTCAAAAGTACACAGGTTTGCTGTGTTCATGTCTCTAGGAGTCACAAGAACATTGTGCTGACTCAACAGTGGGCTGTTGCAGTTAAAAGATAGACTCAAGGACATATCAAAGAACCAGGGGCCAGGAAATGTGACTACAGTTAACGGCAGAAAAGCCAGGTGTGGCAGCACACTCCAGTAACACTAATACTCAGGAGAGGCAGAGGCAAGAAGAGCCCAAGTTCAAAGCCAGCCTCATCTATATTGCAAAAGTATGTCTTAAAACAAAATCCAAGCCGGGCGGTGGTGGCGCACGCCTTTAATCCCAGCACTCGGGAGGCAGAGCCAGGCGGATCTCTGTGAGTTC